AAACGACCCACACTTCTACATTGATCATCAAAAATAGCAAGTTACAGGTTGAGATTTTTGATATTGAAGTTATGGTCAGAGGCATCACTGCTCCTGAGTTAGCATAGCTAACCGTCCAACTTACTTCCATAAGTGTATTATATACACATAGATAGCAGACATGCATCTCTACAAGGTTTATGAATTGCAGGAAACAAAGAGAGTCAAGGAGTTCTTAGTTTCGACAAACGACGAGTCTTGTGGCAAAATCGTCGGTGTGTGTTGAAGGATGAAGAGATCCAGAAGAAGACATTGGCTGAACCTCATGGTACATCCTCTGCATTCTACCTTGGAAGTACGAACATGTATCAAGACCTGAAGGATAGCTACTCGTCACAGGTAAAGGCTTGCAAATAGGCTCTCAACTACATAATATGTCTCATGTCTCTCATCTCTCGAAAGTAAACATGTACTTTCACTTTGAGAGGATCTGTATTATAAAAAGATTCTTGTCAAGTGGTTGCGTAACAAGGAGATTCCTTTAGTCCCGGTCTTATGGGTAACCATCGAGACATTGAGGTGACCTAAGAACATGAGGAGGACGTGGAAGGTCCTACCAAAAACTCTTTCTAAGGATAAATAACTTTTGGGATGAAACTTCCTACGTATGGGAGAATTTGTAACGCTCGAGCCCGGCAAGTACACCAATTTTCCTTTACTTTATATACTCAACCCTTTCTACTTTTTCGATGTTGTTGGTTGAGGTTTGGAGGTGCTTGGAAACCTAGTAACCATAGAGGGGTATTAACAACTCAAGGTTGGTAACTTCATAAATTAACTCAATGATAGTATGTTCATAAATCAAGATAAATACACTAAACATTTTGGCACGACCTAATTTTTGGAGACTTCAAATCTCAGATCATCACTAAAAAGTCAAAAACAATAAACAAAATAAAAGTGAAATAAATATAAGAATAAAATAAAATAAAATAAGGTAGAATTTAAATCCAATTAAAACAAATAATACACCAAATTAAAATCAAAACAAAATTCTAACTCCAAATAGGTGTGATTTGAGTTTATTACCGATGGAAAATGAATTTGGGATACAATTATATTTTACAAAAGATCTAAAATACAAAGATTGGACTGACACCCTTGGATGACCCCTCTACGACCACACAGCTCTCGAGCGCTCCTCAACTTCGAGTGACAACCTGCGCATACCTAAAAAAAAAAAGGAAAAACGGGTGACTATAAAAATACTTATTAAGCAATCTACTTGTAAGCTTTCATCACACCCTTGACCTAGTAGGTATTTACGGTATTTTCTCTAGGCTCTAGGAAGTTTGAGCCTAATTCTACAGTTACTTGAGCTTCTGAAATGTCTCGAAGTTCCGAGTGATTCTCATGACTGTCACAAACCCACTTTGGGTCTGGAGGTAGTCGTTCACTCACTTCTAGGGTCGCGAGTCTACAAAGCAACAAATGTCATCTCTAGGTTGAATTACTTTTTTTTTTTTTTAGAGTTAGTCAGCTTGCATAGCCACAATAGTTAACATTCGGTAACGTGGGTTGAGGTACTACCTCATAAAATCTGTTAAGATAGTATGACATCTTGAAGTTTTGAACACATAGGGCCATAGAGTCAAGGAATCTAGGGGGATCGACCTTCATGTGTCTGCCAATTACTAAGTTATCTGCATGATCCTATGCCCCCTCTCAAGACGAGTTTACAACATAGAGGTCTTGTTCAAGAGACCCCTAGTCATTTTCACTCAATAGTGACACTTGGTCATCTCGACACATTGTACTATCCGACCTAGGTTTGGCTTGACGATACTTGTACTACTATCGCTAGGTGGGACACACATTAAAGGTGTACTAAAGGATATAGGAAGCAGAGACTCTATTCATAATATCATATTGCTATTGGGCATATCAAACTTTCTTAGTCATCTTTGTCGTGAAAGTCTACTAGATTCTTAGGGGCGTCTAAGCGGTTTAAATGTCATCTTACGTTTTTAGGACGCTTGGGATTAGCTCCTCATGACTAATCCAATCCCTTATGCACTCAAGTCTAGACCTCTAGAGTCTCAATTTATGGATGGAGTAATTAAGGAATTAAATAAAAAATATAAAACCTAAAAATGAAAAAAAAAAATATATTTTTTAGAAAAATCTAAAAAAAGCTTATCATTATTTTAAATGAAATAAAAAAATATAGTTTTAATGCATGACCATTAAAATTTAATGAGTTGTTTTGAAAAAAATGTCAATTTAAAAATAAAAAAAGAAACTAAATTGAACATACTAAATAGATTTGAATTTTGAAAATTAAATGAAATAACAACTCACCAACGTAAATTCAAAGTAGATTTAACAATATTTCATTCCATTTTCATTTTCATTTTCAATATTTATCTAAATTTTATGGATGGGATGGAGTTGAATTCGAGTCTAACGAATTTATTTATAAACTAATTCATTATTAATTTAAAAACCAAAATAGGCTAAACTTACCTATTTGCTCATTCATTATTTTGTAAATATTATTAAATAGAAGGCTAAATTTATAAAAGTATCCTAAAAAGTTCAAAAATACCCTTAAATCCTTTTAAAAAGTTCAAAAAATACCTATGAAACCTTTGTTTTAAAAAAACATCCTGAATTTTCAAAATAAGGTTAATATCCTTAAAATTTAAAAATAATTATAAAAATTGTTACCCTTACTAAACAAAAATAATTTATCTTATCAATAGATCATCTAACTCATAGGGTTTATTTTTTTTTTTTAATTAAACAATTTATAGTTTCTTATTCTTTTTATTCTTCTTAAACAACCTCTTAATTCCCTTCTTTCCTTCTTAAATCTCTAACACTTTTCTATTTTCTATTTTTTTTATTTAATTTCTCTCGAAATATTTTCAAATATAAATATAACAAAATTCAATAATCATATAGCCATTTATATATATATATATATATATATATATATATATATATATATATTTTTTTTTTTTTTTTTTTTTTTTTTTTTTTTTTTTTTTTTTTTTTTTTTTTTTTTTTTTTTTTTTTTTTTTTTTTTTTTTTTTTTTTTTTTTTTTTT